CCACTTTAATAGTCGAAGGTTGGCGTTTCTTATTCGCATGATGGATCATGGCGTGTTGTTGCTTGGTCATTGCTCCAATGGCAACCTGGAGCAAGCGATCGTACTTGGCACTTAAGCCAGGCCTGCCAGGTGTTAGACCAGCCGACTGCTCAAGGAATAAGTCGGAGAGCGGATTACGAATCTGCCAACCGTAATGCAGCCTGTTTGGCGTCATGTCTGTGGAAGAATGGATGAAGTTGTACAACCCCTCGACTGAATACAGCTCTTCATCCCACGTTTCCTCATCCAGAATGATTAAAGCACGGAGAAGTTGAAATACGGTTTGGTGAATCTCCTCAGCCAAACCGTCGGTTTCGGAATGACGGCCAGATGTCATGCTCAATTTGAGGCCAGGGAGTGGGATCGTGAAGTCCTTCCATTTGATACTTATGAAGCGCGGGTCCCAATCACTTAGAAGGGTTTTCGGGGTTCCGAACAGCAAAATGTACTTCTGGTGGAACTCACGGATCACAACTTCAGTTGGGACATGAGGTGGCAATGGAATCAGATTTAAGAATTTGGAAAAACGATCAACAATCACCATCACTTGCGAATAACCATTCTTACTTATCTTTCCCACGACCGTGAAGTCGATAGAGATGGACTCTTTGGGACTGTTGGGAATGGGAAGAGGTTTAAGCAGCCCCATGGGCTTTTGTCTTGATGGTTTGATTCGTTAACAGACTTGACACTCAGCCACAAATTTTTCAGCAGATCCTTTCATATTAGGCCAATCAAACTCTTGTAATAAGTTTCCATAAGTCTTTGCATGCTGAAGTGTCCTCTCTGACCGTGAGCCAAGTCCAAGAAGTGTATGTGAAGAGGTTCATGGATGGGTACACACAAGCGGTCATTCTTCCATAACGTCGAAAAACCAGTCCTTCACATTCGTGAAAACCACGATGGCTGTTAGGGTCAGCCTGCAGCTGCTCAAGGATCGAGCTAAGGTCCGGGTCCTTGACAGTTTGCTCCAAGAGCTCCTCCTCCAGTTTCTTCCGGAGGTCGTAGAAGTTCACAAGGCAAGTCATATACTCGGGGTGGCAAGACAATGCATCAGCAACTCGATTATAACCAAGGCTGAATACCTGGTCCCACAGGGCCCCCCTACCCCCACCGCAACCGGGACGGTCGTACCGGCCGGTGGATCGCGCCGGTTCCCTCTCGGTTCCCCTTTGCGCATTTTGATCGCGTGGGGGTTTCAATTTTTTGGGGGGTCGGGAGGCCTCCAAGCCCCCAAAAAAAAATAACAGGGTCCGATAGGGCCGCCAGAATATTAAAAAACTGGCGGTCTATCTGGGTCGTCGATCTGGTGAGATTTGTGGCCCCGATAGGCCACCCGTTTTTAAACATTCATGCAGGAAACCACCCGAACATCGGCCAGCCATCCTAACGTTCCCTAGCCACCACCACCACCGCCCCGCCTCCTGCCTCCCGCCTCCCACCTCCCGCTGCTTTCGAGCAGCACAACCC